CTGTAGGTTTTTGTTTGTGGCTTGCTGTTGTATGAGTACCTTGGAGATTCTGATCTTTTTTTTTTCCCTTGAGGGATTTCTGTTTTATTTTTCATGAAAAGGAAAACAGTCCATGGAACAAAATAAAAGTATGTATAGCAGCATTTAAATCACCTGGATGAGGTCTGTTGCTAGAACATTACATCAGCTTTTGGTTTTAAAAGTGTTTGGAGGGAAAGAAAATAGTGTGGTGAAATAAAAAATTTACTTGCCCTCGGACTGGGTTGGCAAATACCTCAGAGAATGGATGGATACAGCTGATGAAGATGAAAAGACCCATTGGACTATTTGTCTAAGCACGACAGGAGAATCTGTAAGACTTGAGAATTTTGGATGTTTACTAGGATTTAGCTGTGTTCTAGGAAAGAGTAACGAAGGCCATAAGTGATTGCAGCATGCTGGAAATAGGCATCTGGAGGTATCAGGAGGAGCCTGAGTTGTCTCCACTAGTGCAACAAACAATCCTGAAAGGCAGTAAGCTGAACCATGAGGTTGCATTGTCACTGTAGCTATTTGGGAGCATATTTATTTGATGACTTTTGACTGTTGGAGATGGTGAAAAAATCCAGAACGTTTTGTCTGAAGAAGATTCCCTTACTACATCCATGTCCTAAAAATATCTCAATTTTTGTAAAATGCAGTAGTTATTACAGTTTTTTTGTTTACTTACCTTTGAGAAAAAAAAGCTCTAAGAAATACATTTGCCCTATGAACATGACACAGATGCAAGTAATAAATGAGGACTCTCATCCCAGTTTAGATCACTTCTCTATTTCCACTCTTTGTGCTAAGCTGTAATTAATGAGACGGAAAGCATGAGGTCCTTTAAGACAGCTCCTGGCACTCTCTTCAGCCTGCTTCTCTGGGGAGCACTATTTTGATTATTTGTCTTCTGTTTCAGTCACTCTGGGGTTGATGTCATACTTCCACTATCAGAGGAATTGTGCAGCAGTAAACCTACGCTGTACCAGCCCCTTCCTTTGGTAAGTACAATTTAAAAGAGAATCTCCTTTCTCTCTTGCTGTCTGCTATGAACTGAACATACACCCTTCAGAAGTGCAGGTTTTCAGAAGGTAAGTCTGTCAGATCTCTTCTGGCTATTGCATGACAACCATAAAATGCATGTGATTTTATAATTAACTCTTAGAATTTAGCTAAAGGTTCCCTCATGTACAGATATGGCAGAAAGGCTGTGGGTTTGGGAAGGAAAACTGATGAGGATTTGTTTTATTTTACTGGGAGCAGATGGGATTTGCTCCTGCAGTTTCCTGTCACAGAATGGGCCATTGCTTTGTCACCATGTTTATCAGTTTTCTGGGAAATGAGCTGAGTTACAAGAGATGAGACCTATTTCGTCATCTGGTCTGTGTCTCCTGGCTGGCTTCAAGGTCATCTTCTAAACACACATGCACATTCGGGACTATGGGAGAAGGCATGGACTAGTTGGCCACTAAAGTGGCCTTTCCACATCTTCATGGCTCAGTCCATAGTTGATCCTGAGGAAGATTAATTTATTGTCATTCTTAATTTGGCTGGCACCAGATGTCCTGTAGAGATTTCAAGATGCATATTTGAATGTGCCAAACCTGACTGCTGGTTGCTGAGCCCACAGACATCTCTGCAGAACTAAGCTATGAGGAATATGGGACTATTGCAGTGGGGCAGTCTAATCCATGGGGGCATAGGGGGATTAAAGACATAGGGACAGCATCTTGTCTTGCCCTGCTGAAGGTGACGAACATGCTTAGAGATCTCAGCCAGAAAGTCTCCCACGGCATGAACAAATATAACTTGAAAAGAATGTGCGTTCACTCTGGCAAGCCCTGCAGAGAGACTAGCTTTAGGCTGCTGAGATCAAGCAGTGTGAAGTAACTGGAATGCTGATCACCACATTTCATACCAGCTGAAACACTTAGCAGTGCAATCTGCAAGGATCATAAATAGGAATATTAAATTCTTGAAAGAGCAAGATACAGGAAAATATTTCACTTATTAAAATCATAAACAAATGCAGTTCCTTCCAAATCCCAACATCTTCTGAAACTGTTCTCTGAGCAGAAACATCTGTCTTTTGGATATGACCAAATCTCTTTTAATATAACACAGCCTCTGATTTTCCTCCTCCCTTTATCTGCTCTTAGCGTTGTCAGCTGTGCCAAGGGTCTGTGTTGAAATTGCCAGTTCTCAGCCATATGCAATGGCCACAGTGGGATTTGAGATGTGGATGATCACCTCCAGGAAGTACTTGCTGTATTCAAAAGGTATGGGACACAGGATTTGGTGGAGGAAGAGTGCAATTGAAGTCCTCAGAGTTTAAATTTTTATGGAAGAGACTACTGTTCAGTGCAGTACCCTGGGTTATCACTACAGCCAGACCAAAAACAGTAGATGAAAAAACTCTGCTTAAGGACCAAGGATACTTTCTTTTGGATAATTAGGTTCTGCAGACTTGAGAGTGGATGTCTTGAGTCTCACCGTCCTGCTCGTTCCCCTGTCCCCCTTCAGAACACACTGTCAGTCCTGTGAGTCTCACCAATTTGCACACTTTCCTAGCCACACTCTGCCTCATTTTTGAGTATCTTTCCTGGAGATTAAAATTTAACACTTTATCTTTACAACATATATGGAGACAGAAAAGTGCTACATTTTCTGTGCAGGATGTTTTCACTGAGGTGCAAGATGCTTGTTCCTTTTCTGACAATATCTCACAAGTGGCTTCTGATTTTGGGTCTTGGGGTCCAGATAACTGCTACGACCTGTTTTCCAAAGGAGTCAAATATTTACATCATGAGAGGACATGTGGGAATTCTGCGTTCTTACACTGGTAGCTGCTAATGGCTGTTCTGCACCTGACCCCTGCACACTGTAATAAAAAAGGCATGGATGGTGGTCATGCATACTCATGAAGTGCTTTAACAATGGTGGATGCATGGTTGGGCACAAGAGGAGATGTAGGAAAGCAAATCCTTATCAGGACTCCAACTTGAGTGCAAATGAAGAGCAATACTCACTTTCTCTGGAGCAGTGGCCTTCATTCTGGTTTTATTTGTGGGTCCCTAGCAAATTTCTGGTAGGAAAGCAGGCTTCCCCATAGAGCAAATATTAATTGCCTGGTAATATCTTTCCTTTTTTAATCCTAGAGATACTCAAGTCCCAGGATTGAAACTGTTGCTGTGGAGCATCCCGTTTTGAACAGTGTCACAATCTCAGTCACTCTTCAGGTCACTGAAGAGGAGACAGAGAACCTCTCTCTGAAACAGGCTGAAGGCTGTTCTTTTCACCTTTCAAAAAGCATCCCCTCCCATCACTAGAAGGTCTTTTCCTTCTCATTGCTATTGCCACTTGCAGTCGCCCTGCAAGAGAGGGAACTAAAGGCCTGGACTCCTCTTCTGCTTCTTGTAGAGGGGTGCTGGCTCTTTGTCAGCAGTGGAATGAAGATCTTCTCTGGGACAGAGTTTGGGCAACAATCCTAAAGTGCAGGGTGACCTGGCAGAGACCACTGCACTACCTTTCAGAGGTAATGGGAGAAAGAGGGCAGCACCTGGGGAAGCATTGGGGGAACTCCAAAACAGCCTAAATATTTCTGATGGTCTTCGCGGTTAAAGCCTGAGCCACTGGAACTGCATACATTGCATAAGAAGTTATGACTTAGCAGCTTCACAGGATGGGTAAGAAGAAGTAGCTAACATCCATCCGGAACAGTTGTCCCCACCATTTCTGTGGGACGGGGGAGAGGTGATGGATGGCATTTGTAGGACAGACTTGCAGAACCCCCCATGCTCTGTAGGTGCTTTGTTAGCAGAGTGTGACGCACATTTTTTTCTACTAAGCCTAAAAGCTACACATTCTATTTATACACAAAATCTTTTGCAAAGCTCAGGAGTGAGATTTAAAAGCCAAGAGGTTTTCTTCTAGTCCATTGGTTAAAGTCTTCAGGAAGAAAATTGTGGATCGGCAGGGAATAGCCGAGTTGCTATTGACACAGCTGTGAATAATGTAAGTTTGGTGTCTGTGAATAATGTAAGAGGGTACGGCCAGGCCCTCCTGCTCCTACCACCACCCATCGCCGCCGCTCTGTTTTGGAGCCTTGCAAAAAGAACCCCAGCAAAGAGAACAGTGTCACCTGCTGGTAAAGGAAATGACTGCTCGTTGTCTTCGTCTGCACTGCACATCGCCGATCGCGTTTCTGTGTTCTGTGAAAATCCCACTTCTCACCTCTACATTATTGGTGACAATGCGATGAAGCGGTGTCAATAACAGATTCAGAGATGACAGCATTTCTTTCAATTTCTGTGTTATTTAAACACCAGAGATTTTCCGAGGCTTGCTTAATGAATAACGGAGTGGCTTTGGTGATGCAGTGTCCTGGTTTTGGCTGGACTAGAGTTAATTTTCTTCCTAATAGCTGGTGTAGTGCTGTGTTTTGGATTTAGTATGAGAATAATGTTGGTAACACACTGATGTTTTTAGCTGTTGCTGCGCGGTGCTTATACTCAGTCAAGGACTTTTCAGCTGCCTGTGCTCTGCCAGTGGGGAGATGTACAAGAAGCTGGGGAGGGGGCACAGCCAGGACAGCTGACCCAGGCTGGCCAAAGGGGTATTCCCCACCATCTAACGTCATGCTCAGTATATAAAATTTGAGTTGGCCAATTCTGTCCCCCATCCCACTTGGGGAGGGCAGGGGAAAGCAAGCAGCTGCGTGGTGCTTAGTTGCCAGCTGGGGCTCAACCACGACACACAGCTATTGTTTATGTTAGTTATATTTTTTTAATAGTTTTAAAATTGAGGCTGATACCGAGCCACTTTTTGTTCTGCATTTGCTATTGGTTAAGAATATATAAAAGCTTAGTATGGATATCACCTGCTCACCTTAAAATCTTCACTTAGAAGTCTGTGGAGCTCACACTTCTATGTATATCTAATACATATGTATGTATGCATGTATTTCAGAGGGTGGTCAAATGAGTGCTCATGCGGAAGAAAACTGCAAGGAAAGCAATTCTGCCCAGGAAACATCTGCAGAAGGGAATGTCTGTTCTGCTAAGGACTGCTCAATAACACAAAAACAATTGGTATGACTTCTCCAGTACCATTTTTTTATTAAGATACTTACCATTGCCTTAAATTTCTTCCATAAGTACAAAAATAAAAAGCTAGAGTCAATAGGGAAATATCAGTAATAACAACAATGAAATGAGTCAACTTTGCAGTACAGTAATTTAGAGGGCTAAGAGCAATTCTGAGCTCAAATGAGATAGTAAGTAGGGAAATAGGAGAGTACTCTTAGAGGAAGGACTGCCTCCATAGCTTATTAATTGTTTCCAACTTGAAATAGCATAATTTATGATCATGGACAATCATGATGCTGAAGCATATTTTCTGCACAGAAAATCTACCCCCGACCCAAAAGCAGAAATATCTGAATAATACAGGTGCATGAGATTGCCCTATAGGTTTTCAGGAGGAGGCAACTGAAAATGCATGGCATCAACCACTTTGTAAATAAGTGCACTCAAGTGCACAGATATTTCTAAATCACTGTATCAGCAGACTGGACTGAACTGCCACTGCTTTCCCCATAAGAAGCAATGAGGGCACTCACTTGGTGAAAAATTACTGTGGACTCTGAAAGGAATGACACCCTCCAGGGAAGCTGAGGGGTGGCAAGTCAGCTCCATTTATCTAAAAGGAAAAAAGCTAAATTTGTATGTACGTTTGTGCCTTTGCATTATGAGTGACAAGTGTGCATTCAATGTCCACAGTTACTGTCCAAAGAGAAATTTTTTGACACAACACCCATGTTTGTTTGCATCGAGATTAGACACGACTGTCAACATACATGGGCTATGTGGAATGGCAATACACAGAGCTGGTGTTTTAACCTCCAAAACTATTCAGCAGTTTTAGCTAATTGCAAACATGGTTTCCATAAAATAGGCAAGAAGATGATCTCTCCTATTTCTCAAAAACTGTGCTCAGTTTAGCTTCTTTATTTTTGTCTGTGCTTTTTTCATACTCTTCACTTGTGCAAATGCTTCCTGCCTGCCCTAATTGCTCCTCCAGACATTTTTCTTGCCTCCAGATTGTTTGGACAAAGATGGGTTCTAGGCATCTGAGGGAACAGTGAAGATAAGGGTGAATCCAACTGAGATGCTTACAGTCATAGTACTTACGGATTACATTATGGATAAAGTTAAAGAAAAAAAATACATGATTCTGCCTCCCACAAGACAGCTTTCAAACTCTATGCCACTTGTACCGGAGTTATGTATTCAGCGTCACGGTTGTTGCCTCTCCTGTCAGGATGCACAGTCAGTCAAAGAAATACTCAATTAACAGTTAGGCAAGCAAACATTTTCAACAATGTGATCTTATTTTAGGTAGAGTTTTGCTTCCTTTTCCTACCTTTGTTGTTTTAGGTTATCAAGAATATTAATTTTAATGTCATTTGAAGGCCAGTGAGGACATTTGACGGCTAGTAAATATTTGTTCCAATTGTACTGATTATAAACTTTCTATTGTTTATTTATAGCAACAAGTCGAGAAACAATTAAAATGCTTAGCCTTTCAAAATCCAGGACCTCAGGTAGCTGACTTCAATCCTGAAACTAGAAAGCAGAAAAAGAAAGCGTGCATGTCACAGATGAAACAAGATTTATTTTATAAGCCCAAGTAAGATGTGCTGATTTATTACATATTTTACTTTTAAAAATGGCTGGTACGCTGTTTACTCAACATAAACAAAATTAATAACATAATTAATATTTTGCAGAGATATTTCTTACTACATATGAAAGCTCTGCTAGCAAAACAAGCTTTTTCTGTGTGACTAATAGAATTTTGATTTTATTCTTTGTCACACTTTAATTTTTAATAACAGTGGCTGTTGCAATTAGGATATAATGCTGGCATTTCTTGACGATGTGAGTTTGTTAAAGAGGAAATATTTGTTCCAGGACAGATGTTTTCCACATTTGTTCGGTTTAGTCTTCAAAAATGTTGAAGCATTCTCTGAGAATCACTTTTTCTTCTCTTTCGCAGAATTACAAAGAAGTATGACAAACACGGCAGGCTGCTTTGTAATAACGTTGACTTGTGTGATTGCCTGGAAAAGAACTGCCTGGGTTGCTTCTATCCTTGCCCCAAATGCAATTCAAACAAATGTGGACCAGAATGTCGCTGCAATCGGAAATGGGTTTATGACACAATTGAGACTGAATGTGGGAATGTGATCAGCATGTTGCCATTTTTAGTCCCTGACTGATTTTGTTGTGATAGCTTTTGCACCTGGGCAAAGTTCTTCATTCTTCACATTTCACTGAAGCAAATCTTGGCTTTATGAATTGTCTCTAGTGAACTGCTTGGCAGTGCTGCTTTTGCTTCTTTATTGCTGCTTAGCTAGCAGACTTTAACCTTCACCATTAAGTAAAAATATGCATTTCGTTCTTCCTCATCCTTGCGAGCTTTACTGAGGCATCTAGTCAGTCCTCTCTAAATCTGAGTTTTCTAAAACTGAAGGTATCTGGACTGCTGTAGGAGGACAATTTTCTTACCCTGGGAAGCTGAAGCACAATTACTTGTAATGAGTTTTCTTCTTGCTGATTTCTCTGCTTGTTCATTTACTCAGATGTGTAACACAGCTCGCTCTTCTGTGAATACTTTTCCAAGTGTCTTTTTCTTCTGATGCATTCATGTCTTGTATAGATGAGGCAGGAGTCATTTGAGATAAACACTGTTCTTCAAAACTAGGTCACCACTTTCTATGTCCCTCAGTATATAAAGCAAAAGAGAATGGAAACAACTCTGCAATTCTTTCTTGCTGGCCAGGTGACAAGACTGAAACCAACATGTTCAGTAAGCATTTTATTTTTTTTTTACAGCATATGGTGAACTCAACCTTGATCATTATAATTATATAATTATACCTATATAATTATATAGTTATATAGCTAGAGGTAAACAGATTGGATGTTTTTGCCTCTGGACAGAAAAGTCTCTTCAGTTCCAGGAGTTTCCTCTTCATGCAAGACATAACAGATTTCAAATACCGTAACTTACACCCAGTCTTTTTAGGAGGTAGGTGTTCTCATTCATGATAGGCACTCACAACCTTTTGAATAATGAGGGTCCCTCTGGATCTTGAAGAGGGAAAGGCTGCAGATTGCCGCAGGCGATCTCCAGGAGCATGCTGCTAGTGGGAGAATCATTCCCTGGGCCCAGGGCTTGTTGTTTTTGAGGAGACTTTGAATATGGCACCATTTTCTCCCCTACAAGAGGCCATTCTCTGTGGACAAAGACCTCCTGCTCCAAGGCAGAGATACCTCCCCGTAGAAGAAACTACCTGGAGCAGATCCCAAGAACGCCTTAGCACCACAGTCTCCTTCTGACTCGATAACCTCGGAAAGATTTGTTGCTCCTCTCAACTAATGACACCTCAGTACTTAAGCTTGTAGCTTAAAAAATACCCAGCAACAGAAAACTTCATAGGAATATTCGCTATGGTGGTTACAACACTCTCTGCTTGGCAGTCCCATCAGGTGCTGTTCTCATATACCTCACTGGTCCCAAAGTATCCTTTGACTTCTTTGATGGTTGTACTTGATGATCTTGGTTGGTTTGATGATTGGACTTGATGATCTTAAAGGTCTTTTCCAACCTTAATAATTCTGTGATTCTGTGACTTGTGCCGGGAGTGCAAATAGCACACATCATCTCTGAGCTCTGTTTCTTAAGGTAGGTGGAAATCCTGCCAACGTAGTCAGGGATTGGTTTCTTGTTACAGGTGTGCCACAGACTTATTCTGGACTTGACTGAATAAGCAACTCTTCAAGAAGATGTATTGGGTCTGTGTCGCAAGGTTCTGGTAGCAGGGGGGATGCAGGGGCGGCTTCT